TTCTGGGAGTTGAAATCCACACATCTTCAAGCAGCCAAGGTGGAGAAACCCTGGTCTGGAAGTTATATCATTTAAGAACCACAAGTTTGTCCTTCCCTCCCTCCCTCCACTTCTATCAGAACAGCTCTTAATGGAAGATTAGAGTTCAGCATCGTTTCTTAATATCTTTATTTGACCAAGGGTTGGACCAGGTTAGTGGCTGGATGGGAGACCACCAAGAAATTGCAGAAGCAGGCAGTAGCAAACCATTTCCATCATGTTGCCAAGAAAACACATCCATGCAGGTCGCTAGGAACTGCATTCAAGGGCGTCTTTCGCTTTTTCTAATGCCACACACATACCCATTCCATTTCCTCCCGTTTTAAAGAAAAATAATATATACATTTCACTTCAATTTTCCTTTTTTAAAGTTTTCGAGATAACAGCACAGGTGAGGCATAACTGTATTCTGAAGCATAAGATAATCTAGGGAATACAAGTTCACCAGACCTGTTTAAAGCTGTGGGCCCCCCAGAATCGTCCGAAAGGCAGCCCAGAGGTGGGTTTAACATCCTGGAGAGAAGAATTCCTTTGAGCTCAAAATGAGATTTCTCCGGATTACTTTTGTAACTATTGACTGCTGAAAAAAGGCACCTGCAGGTCTAAGTGGTTCAGCCGTGGTTTCCTGTTACCAGGAAGACGTTAAAATTATTGTTCTCAGGAGGACTGAAAAAGGACAGTGTTTAGCTGAATTTTCAGCATCTCACCAAATTGCAGAGCCTGAGCTTGAGAGTAAGAGAATATAGAAGCTGTTATATTAAAGCAAAACTAAACCAATCAATCAATCAGTATTTTATTTCAGTCACAGACCAGAATTAAAACTAAACCAATATAAATCTACAATGTATTTTACACTTTCGGTTATTCCAAAGCCCTGTCTTTTCCATTGCTGTGCAGGGCTCGCCATAATTGGGTTTTTACTTTGGCCTAACTCACCTTCTCTGGTTGGGAGAACATGAAACTTGCATCCAAGCTCTATCAAGTAGTCCTCTTTTCTCCAGGATAAATATGCACAGATCCCCCTCCTCATAGGTACATGAATAACTGAAGAGCCTGGGTCACTCTCAGAGCAACCAAGAGACCTGAAGGCTATATAGGTGGGAGAGGTGCTGACAGCTATGAAGCCAGACGAGGTCAGGGATGAAGAGACAGGTTGGAGCCCCAAAGGCCCAGGATGTGGCTGAAAGCTGCCTTGAAGCAGGATATCCTGAGGCTCACTTTGAGGTTGCAACAACCCACGAAGGGTGTTCCAAGGTCAGAATGGGATGTCTTAGGGTTGTGACATTGTGCACAAATCTCATACAGTATGACTCCACCTTCTTAGCTGCAGCAGCCAGCTGTTCTCCAGGGTTGGCTATCAAGAAAGGAGGAGAGTATTATAGGACATGGGAAGCCAAGAGAAAATCTGGTGTACTTAGGGTGGCCCTTGAGGAAATGGTGCAGGAATGAGCAATATGCAGACCAAGTGGCTGTGTGAAGTGAGGCCAGGTTTCCTCCAAAGCTTCTTCAACCAAGACCTAAGCCTGGGGTCCTCCTTATGTGTTGGGACTCCCCAAGTTGTTGGGAAGAGTTGGGGGTTGACACGTCAAGGACCCAATTTATCTGGCTCTCCGAGCTGTTTTCATCATTTTAGTGCGCATTTCTCCATCTTTCTATTTCCCTGCTTCTTCCTTTGCTGTTCACTCCGTTCTGCAAATCGATCCTACCCAACAGCCAGCAGAATTCCAAACTTCAGAAAAGTCAGAAATAAGCCGTGTCGTGATCTTGCCACAAATACTCACTTCAGTTCTTCGAAACTGAAGTGACAAAGCCCCGTTAGCGACCAAAACCAATGCAAAGGAAGAAGAGGATATGGTTTACTCTAATGAAACTGGAAGGTAAGCGCTGAACTTTGCTCAGCCGTGCTGTTGGGGTGGTTTTCCTGCGTTGGCTCAGAGCAGGACCCCATAAGGGGGAGAAACTCGGTGACAGACTCACTGTGATCTGACCGTTTTGTCTTAGTTTTTGAAGCCGAGGGAAACCTCCTGGTGAGAGAGAGAGCGAGTATGCTAGGAATTCAGCATCCAAATGTTAGGAAA